TCTCTTATACACATCTAGATGTGTATAAGAGACAGTTGTCTCTCTCTCTCTCTCTCTCTCTCTCTCTCTCTCTCTCTCTCTCTCTCTCTCTCTCTCTCTCTCTCTCTCTCGCTGGCTTACTCACAGCATGGCGCGCCAGCTTAATTGCAGTTCCTCTCTACAGGCCATGACACACGATGTCCTTGCTCACAGTGTGGCGTGGCTCGCAGCATGGCAGGGCTAGCCGCACAGTGTCACGCAGAAGCAGCAGCAGCACATATGTGAGCGCAAGGCGGGTGACCGATCTTGGGGCCGTGAGGGTTAGGGGAGAGAGCACGCAGGAAGTCGAATGAAATTACGCCCGAACTCTTTGCAAAATGCAGGCCGCCACTTCTGTTCTGAAAGGAGGGGCCTACCAGCCCGGGTTTTTGTTTATCTGCTGGCGGCGGCCTCTGCATGGTCGTGGGAGGCTGCCTAGGCCTTCTCTGGCCTGGTACTCCCTCCCCAGCCAGAATGCGCTGGGGCGGTGGGGGGTCTGCCAGGATGGTCCACTGGCCGGCTGGACCACGAGGCTTCTGGCGGAGGAGGACCCCTTGGGCCATCTGGGGACCAGCACTCCAGTATTTGGTATTTTGCTATTTAGTATTCACTACATGTGCGGCTTTCTGTCAGTTGGTGGTATCAGTCATCTCCACTCTCATCAGTGTTTTCCTTCTTTTTACATGTCGTCTGCAAACACGATGCGCTCTTATTACCATGAAACTTCAGTGTATGCAACCTCTCTCTCAGCATTGGTTATGTTTATGATTATGGTGCACTGCAATCTGGGGAGAGGAAAGCAGGAATTCCCCCCCGCAAGAATGCATGTGAAAGAAGTAGAGAACGAGTAGAGAACTTCACATATTCTAGAAAAGTGTTATGCTGCTTGATGCCTCAAACTTACGAAACAGCAATATGGATTTGCTAGAAGTTTGTCCAAGTTAGGCATCCATGTGGCTAAGATCAAGTGTAATATATGTTGGTTGGTTCTGCTCTGAACTCTTGATCAGCTGGGGAAAAGCAAAGGGAGTAGAAAACAGAGCCAGGTTGCTTGTCCAGCAGCATTGGTCTGTCCGCCTGTCTGGGTGTGCAAAGTTGGGGAACAGTTCTCTTGGCCCCTTTTTACCAATTCCTCACCTCCTTTGAATGCTCCATCTTACTCTCATGGTAGGATGCTTACTCTCATGGTAGGATGCATAACCTTCTCTGTCCTCTTCTCTTCATTGTCTCTGCCCTTCACACCTCAGACTCGCTTCTCTCGCGTCTGTTTAGCTTTACGTTATCCAGATCGAGATGCCGGTCAATTTGGCACTTCAGCATGTGTTAAATTTGTGACTTCTTTGTAAGTTTATAGTACTTTGTACTACTGATAGTCTTGGAGCATTTGGCTAGGCATTTTGCTGATTGTTGGGCTGCTTGTTCTGCGTTTGGTTATACTTTCTCTGTTTGTGATGACAGCCATTCTGGCGTGTATGGAACACGAACAGCAGTGACGGGCGTGGTGTTGTTGGTAGGTTTTTTGAACCCTCTAGTCCTGTCTCACTTACTTCCCAAAGCCTGCAATAGTTTGCTGTGGACCTCTTTCCTGGTCAAGCAATGAACTTGCTAAAGCTGCCAAACCCTTTGCCACTTCAATGAACCGGCTTTCGGACTTTCAGAACTCAGTTAAATCATACCTTCTTCCCCAAACAAGTGAGGGGAATTTGAACAGAGCTGAAGGATGAAAGGGGCTAGAGCTCAGACAAATAAATGAATGACAAACGGGGGGCAGAGTTCAGAGAAGTAAATCTAAGGGGTGCAGCCTTGGAGGGAGAAGCTTGAAGGGGGGATGGAGCTTAGACTAATAAATGGAGGATAAAGGGTGGTAGAGTTGAGATAGAAAGTCTAAGGGGAAGGCCAAGCGACCTAGCTCAGCTGGTTCAGCACGTAAGTGGTACACAGGAGGTTGTGGGTTCAATTCCCCGGGGCATCCATTCGACTCCCCACAACCACCTGTGTGGCATACTTTGGGTTCGCCAACTGAGAAAGCCGGCCTGTCCCTCCTGGCTGGTTGTGCTGCTGGTTGTGGAAGTCTTGGGTCTCACTTTCCAGTCCGCGCCAGGTGTTAGGAGCTTGGGTGCTGCTCCCAGCACAGAGCAGAGTTAGGTAGGCGCGGGCCCATACAGTTAGGATAGCTTAGGCCTATTTAGTAGTAAGTACATTTAAGGCTCGTCCCCGGAATAGACTACCATCTTCACCTGAATAGAAACGCCCGGTCATTATCGCTGCATTGGGAACGGAAATTGTGCCAAATACAGCAATAATGACCAGGCGATGGGTGTTCTATTCGGGTGAAGACGGCAGTTGCTGTAGCCCTAGACCCTAGCCTTAGACTCTAGTCAGACCCTAGATCCCCTTGGAGTGTGGATGTGCTCTTGTTTGTCCGGGGTAGGTAATGCGAGGTCAAAATACGGCTGATCCCTTGCTTGTCTGGGGTAGGTAGTGCGAGGTACGATACTGACGAAAGATGATCGCGTAGTAAAAAATGTGGCTGTTTCCTGGCCAATTCATTTCGATAACTGGTGCATGGTTCGGCCTGAGGGCCAGGCTCTGTCCACAGATCACCTTCCTTTTATCCTCCCCTCCCCCAGAAAAGGAGAGATTTTCTTATGTATTGTAGACCTCTTAGAGGATCATTTCTTCTGCCCTGGTGAAGGCCAGGTTCTGTCCACAAATCCCCTCCCCCAGAAGAGGATAGAGATTTTCTTTTGTACTGTAGACCTCTTAAAGAGGAAATCACTTCTTCGTCCCTGGTACAGACCGCTTTTCTTTGCCCCTATCAGTTTATGAATTGTTGAGTAATAGTATTCGCCCTAAATACGCGGGCCTAGCTCAGTTGGTACACCCGTGAACTGTTGGAATACAGACTCTCACGTTTGAATCCAGATACTATCAGATGAACAGACTAAGAATCATTCTGAAATGCCTGGGGCCGGTCAGTTCAATGATGATATCTCAAGGTCGTCACCATTTATTATTTAAGTGTTGGGTGTGTTATGCTGTTAAGGGTTATGAGTACCTCCTTACCACCCTGTTTCCTCTCCCAGAAGAACACAAGAAAATCTTCTTTCTTAAAGTATTTTGCATTGAGCCTCACTGCTCGACACCTTGAGCACACACACACATTGAGAGATTACACGAAATCCACACTGGAGTCCAGAGATGCAAAGTCCAGATATGCGCAGCTTAGAAATTCCAACAAATTATCACATGAAACAGATTCGGAGATCCAGTCGCCAAGCGCTCAACAGCGCAGAATTCAGCAATCCAATACCCGCATCCTCATCTAAGGTAGGTGACTCTCTTCTCTCCCTGTCTCACTCTCTTCTTTCTCTTCGCCCTCTCTCTCTCTCTCTGTCCGTCCTGGTCTTCTTCATGCTCTCTCTCTCTCTCTCTCTCTCCTTGAGAATCTTGACTCTGAATACATCTGCTGCTACTCAGTTCTATCCTTACTACTAACTTATGCGGCTATGGCCGCCTTCCCTCTCGCAGGGCTGTCGCTGGCATGCTACTCGCAGATAGCGCACAAGCGCTTCAGCAGCAGTCCACACTTCTCACGAATGAGCAATCTCCCCTGGAATGCGGCTGATGAGTCCTTATATTGACTTGGACTGAGCCTCAACTCGTCGCAGCCTCTGCTTCCTTTGGCTCGACCTGGACCCGGTACCACATGCCCAGTTAACTTGCTTCAGAATGTCAAGGCCTAGTACTTTTGCCGAATTTTCATTGGTGAGCTGCTGGTTGAGTCTGTGAGTCACAACTTTTCATCTGTGGAACATGACTTTTGACTGTGGGATGTGACTCTTGCCTCTGGGACACGACTTTTGCCTGGAGAAGTGTCCTTTGCCTGTGGGACATGACTTTTCAATATCCCTACACTACTAAAATCGCTAACGTGACAAATCTGCAATCCGGGTTGTCGTGGGTCCTACCGGCCCACGGCCCAGATCGACCTAACCATGTAACAAATCTGCCATCTCGGCCGTCGGGTCCTACCAGACCGACGGCCTGGATAGATGCGGTCTTAAGATCTAGGACCGCGCTGAAATCCAGGCCGTCGGTCCGTACCTACGGCTCAGATAGAACTGTGGAGTGCCTTTCACAGATAGACGCGCCGCAGAGTCCCGTGGAGTATTACCGGAGTCAAGTGCCGTGCACGTAGATCCAGGCCCTTGGCCCACTACCTCCGGGCGAACGCCCCGACGGCCCAGTTCGCAGGCAATTTGGGTACCTCACTTTGCCTTTGTCGGTTCCAACAGCATCGCACCATATTTTCTTGAGCTTTTGCCGTAGTACGTGCTGGGTACTGCCTCGGGCCGTGTTGTGTATGCCCTGCTTGCTGTTGTGGACCTTGCTGCGCAGCGACCAACTCTCTCTCTCGCTCGCTGCTTCTCTCTTTCACTCTGGGCAGACTGTTGGGGTTCAACCTCCTGATCAGTTGGTGAAAGCCCGACGAAACAGTCTGCCACATTCATGGTATTTTAATGGAGTTGTATAGCAAACATGACAACCCACACGCACACGCACACACACAATCCCTGTCTCCCTCTCACCTAAGGTTGGCCAGCTGCCGCCGTGAGCTGTGGTGGGCCCAGATTGAGGTGCGGTGGAATAGTTGTCATCGACTGAATGCTGCTGCAAGATGGAACCCTCAGGTCAGTGGCATGGCTCCCTCCCCAAACC